TCATACAATGTTTATCAGCCTAAATGAACTTGTTATTGGACCAGAAAATCGTATTGTCTCACAGGGTACTGTATTCATTTATGTGTTCTTATGGTATTTGTGAAACGCTTAGAGCCTCAGGGTTGAGTGCTATAATATACATGGTGTGGGTAAATTCTACTTTTACTCCCGCACACAGATGCACTGCTGTGGGGGTCAAACTGCAACTGCTGCAGTAATTTTTGCTGCAGGTCGCACAATATAGACTCTAAAACTGTTGCAAATCAATTATTTTCAGGAAATTTTCAAAACGAACTGCAAAACATCAAATTACGGGTTAAAACGGGGGCAGGGGGGGAGGGGGGAGAGGTGAGGGGGGAGGGGCAGACCTCCCGCCTGTAACCCCAGTAGATTTTTAAGACGGAAAAGAAGTCAATATTCGTCTTCAGCGCATCAATATATATAGTAGAAAATAGACACCTTTAGTAGCTAAGTGTGGGTCGGGAGGGAAAGTAAAAGAATGCCAGTATCTGTCTATCAAAATTCTTAAAAGTAACAACGCTATTTACGGGCCAAATGTCTTTAAAATAGCAAAGATATTTATGTTCCAAAATGTTGTAAAAGTAATCGAAGTTGACTTTATCTCAGGACTAGTATTTCATTGAATAGAGAAAAAATAATGTGATAAAAGAGCAAAACAATCACATAAGAACTTTTTCATAGATCATGCTCTGTATATAACACAAGCGGTTAGTAGAGCTGCATGTTCATTAGTCAGATCTATGTTGCTTGTGTCCGGTATTATAACATTAACGGGAGGAGCTACCCTTGAGGACCATTTCCTATGTTTGTTGACCGAGATCAAATCTAAGTACAAATATAAAGTTAGACATAGTAAAATCTCTTGATACCCAATTTTATTTTGGCATAGCTACAACGGTTGCTATGGAAACGGCTGCCATCTTGAAAATAAACAATGAATTTGAAATCCCAAAGGTTTTCTTATTTACAGACCAAATTTGACCAAATTTGGTGAGAGTATACCTGAACCAGACCATAACAGAGTAACAGCAAGTTTTTTTTCAATAAGTGCAAAAGAAAAAAGTTTATGAGAATTTTCCCAAAGTATTTAATTTTTTTCTTCTAAATTTAGGTTGCGTAATCGCTTGCCAAAGGAAAAGTGTTACTTTTTTCGCAAATATCTTTCTGTTACATTGATGACGTTTAATGTCTAAAGGATGACAACTGAGGAAGGATAAGGAAAAAACTGCACAAAAATTACATTTTGCGAAAACCGACAATAATTGTGAAAATTCACTATTTTAATCCACCCTCATGTTTTTAAAGGCAAATTACCTGCAGAGTAAGGTCTTTCTCAATTGTATCCATGCTATTTTTAGACAAAAAACTGGTTGATTTTAAACAATCAGCCAACATAAAATATGCATAGCCTGACCCAAAATCTGCAAAATCAAGGGTTGCTCCTCCCCTTAACAAGATGTATATTTTTTTTCACTTCTCCAAAACAGAGAAATATGGTGTGATATTATCGCTTTCGCAATTCTATCGATTTGTTTTTTAAACCATGTACTTGTATAATAATATACTGCTTTCATACCGTGGTTCTGCCCCCCACCCCACCCCACTCCCCACCCCCCACTCTCTTTGCAGATTCCTGGAGGATTTAGCTACTGCTATGCCAAGGCAAGCCTGGACATCTTCTCGAAATATGCCGCAGCAGGTGTGTGTGTGTGTGTGTGTGTGTGTGTGTGTGTGTGTGTGTGTGTATGTGTGTGTGTGTATGCGTGTGTGCGTACATGCGTGCGTGTATGTGTGTGTGTGTCTGTGTGTGTGAGTGTGTGTGTGTGTGTGTGTGTGTGTGTGTGTGTGTGTGTGTGTGTGTGTGTGGGCGTGCGTACGTGTGTGCATGCATGCGTGCGTGCGTGCGT